AGTCAGAAAGTTTTATAATTACTATTTATTGTAAATTTATCAGAAAAGCTCAATATTTTTTTGCATTTTTATGGTAATAGATAACTTAAATAGAAGTAATAGTAATAATTTCCTAGGAACTTTTGTTGTTTGTTGAAAAGATTCTATAATTGAAATATTGAGAACTTAATTAATTTTAATGATTTACTTTAACTAAATGTACCAATCAAAACAAAGTTGTTAAAAAGATTTACTCAATTGAGTGTATTATAAAATTTGATTATATTTGTTAAAAACAATCATTTTTTTTAGAAATGATTTATATAGCAACATGTTACTAAATAATTTGTAATATTATAGTCTAGTAGTAGGACACACAAATAGAGTAAAAAAATTATTAAATTACAAAGTAAAATGATTTAATTTTGTAGTTGAAACCTATCATATCAAACTTCATTCGTTAATAAATATTTTGAAAACATTAGAAATCAATGATTTTAATTGTCTCTATGGAGAACATGGAATAACTAACTGTTTAATTGATAAATTAGAATTTTTTTTTCAATTTTTGAGGGTAATATCTTCAACTAGATACGAATTGTAGTCATTTGACGTATCGTTGAAAAAAGTAGGTCAAGTTAGAGCAGAGAAAATATATGATAGTCACAAAAAAATACCTTCTCAGCTTTGCATCAAAGCTAAAACTTAAAATATAGTAAAATAATTTTAATACGAATAAGAAATTTCTTCTTGCAAGGGATGACTAAAGTGATGGGATCCTTGATCTTTATTGAAGTAATTGAATCTAAATGAGATAAAAATCAAAGCAGTTGAAAATTTATTCTATCTTAAAAAGAATTAAGAAAAAATGCAAAAAATTTCATTGCCGTACGCGGGTTGGAACCTCGCACCCCAGGCTTGTAAAACATAAGTTTTTACCAAATCGCCAATCGTACGTTGCTACCGATGGTTGAAAAAATTAGCTAATTAAGCTAGTTCAAATTTCAAAGTTAATTTTCTTGACTTAAAAGAAGCAAACAAATTTAAATAAGTTTAACTTTCTATGCTATATTAATTTTTATTATATATAATATTTATGAAAATCTGTACTTTTTTATCGACTGTATATTTTTTTATTTAAATTAGCCGTTATAAAAAAAATAGATTTTTAGGAATATTAATAGTAGAGTAGAACGAAAACAAATTTTATTTTGCGAATTCCAATATTACTAGAAAGTTGTGATCCATACTCAAATATGTGTATAAATAATCACAATCTTAAAATTATTACAAAATTTTACGAAATTTTCAGAACACATTACTTAAGAGTTTTAAATATATTTTTGATTTATTGTAATGTATTAAATTTTTATATAGGTAAAAACATTAACTTAATTAAATTGAAAATATTTTTTGGAATTAAAATTTGACATAATCCTACGAGATTCAATCCTAGCCCTTATAACACCATCCCTTCTAGCTTGTCCGCATACAACTGCAGATGCTTCTGTTACTAATTTTACGCTTCTTTCAACAGCTTGTGTATGACAAAGTAAATAAAAAATTTCTAAGGTGTTCTTCTTGTGACTTAATACAATCTAAAATACAATTGAACTGTTTTTATTATCGACTGAAATAATACCAATATCTTGAAGTACATCACTTACAATTTTAGCAGCTGTTCCATCTGAAATTCCAGTTCTATCGCAAGACAAAGCTAGGACCGGTAACTTAAGTCTCATCTGTGAGTTTTTTATATCAGATTACGATGTTGATGGTTTTGTAGCTATTGTAAAACCTTCGTCAGAATTATTATATTCATCATTAATTTCAACATTACATTTGGGCCATAAACTTTAGTTATTTTTCTATGAATTTCAGTCGGAGAAACATTTTGAAAATTTAAAAATCGAATGACGGCGCGGATTTCTTCTTTTGTGCAATTTAAATATTGGTTTCACATGTTAACACTTTCGCTGCTGACATAACACTTAATTATTATAGCCATGACTAATAAAATATATTGCTTGTTATCTAAATTATCAATGCTAAAAATTTCCAGTCGAAATTCCCCATTATTTATGCTAAAAACTTTGTACCTTATTTATCGGTTGGGTTGGGTTGGGTTTACGCAGTAAAGAACATTGTTGTGACTTTTAATACACTAACTGGCAATAAAGATAGCAATATATGCTATCTTTATTGCCAGTTAAGTATATTATCTATAGTTAAGTATAATTATATTATATAGTTAAGTTTATTATCAATAGATAATTGATAGTCATAAGTAAATATAAATATTCCGTGATTATGATAACGACGTCATAAAAAATTAATTAGTTACCTTATAACTTTATTTTTTTTATGGCAACATACATATTTTACTAGCTTATAAAATAAAAAATTATCTAATTATGAAAATGAATGTTAGATATTAATTAAAATCTTCGGATAATATCGTGGCACTTTCGCTGCATTGGCAATGCGGATCATCCTCTGGAGTCAAAATGTTTGCAGCGTTTATGGCGACGTTGCGCGGGTGCGGATCAGTTTGTCAAGTACGGTCGTGTGTCACTTCGGGAGCCGGTGGCGTACGCCCTCAACATTGTCACTTTGACGACGGGAAGACGACTCTACGTATCATTTGCGGAGGATCGTCGTTGACCGTGTGGCACTTGCAAGACTTTGTATCGTAGCGTTGGTCAGTCAAACTACCAATACCCATAAAAGGGCGACAACTGATTAAGGTGAGGGGGTGGACAATGGTGTATCATGAACGATGTCATGTAGAATCTTACAGGTGGTTAAAATACATATTACATAACATAAACATGTAATGGGTTAAACGCGTACGCCGACAGTTCTTTTACGATCAATTGACGTCTCTAATTTACAATGCATTGAAAATCGACTACTAGTGATCCGTTCATTTTTTATGACTGTTAAAACTGTGATAAATCTTTTTTATGTATCCAACTGTTTTTTTAAACTACGCCGTTTAAAAAAATATTTTTAATTTTTATGACATTTTTTCTATCAGAAACGTATCTAGAAAATTTGTTTTTTCAACTCTTCCCAGTAGAACGTTTCGTTGATAATTTGCATATCGTGTTCATTTTTCAACACGTATATAATGAGTTTAAGCTTTTTTTTTATTTTATCTATGCAAAATTGGACCAATTACGTATATCCTTTGACGAAAGCGGCTTTGTTTTTACTTATCCGTACTGCGTTACTAATATTGAGTAATGTTAGAATAATACGGTAAACGATAAAACCGTATGGAATCGAGTTTTTTTGGATGCTTGCATTGGTGTTTCATGGATTACCGAATGAATAACATTATTATAATCATTTGTTATTTTATGTAATTTTGTCAACCATTGATTAGATCTCGATGCTGTACATTTTTTCCACATGTGTTCTTTAAGCGTACGGTTACAACGTTCGAGTACGCAAAACTTCACTACAGAATATATAGGGAAATGTTTAATACCTCTCTGTATTAGAAAAGTTTTTAGCTCTTTATTGAAAAATGTTAAAAATGTCGTCGTTAAGACATCAATTACAATTTGAATCAATTAAAACCACATTACATTGCTTTTAAAAGTTGGGAATTATTTGAACCCAACCGTTTTTATCACAAGTGAAAAACACATTCGTAAACCGTGAAGACATCTGTACAATAAATCTGTAGATATGAACCGATTCGGTCACTGTTCCCTATCATCACTCAAAGTTATTTTAAATTCAGAATCTTATCTGTATGACAATTTAAACATTGATTTCGATATTGATAAATATTCAGCATTATATCAAATGTATTCGACATTTCAAGATAACATCTACAATACTAATAATGATGATCCTATTTTGACTAAAGAAGAATTCAAAGATACTGCTCCTATGGTTGTCATTGATTGCTCCAAACAGAAAGAAATAATTAAAAGTGTTCCTGTAGACGTTTGCATTGAATTCGAAACCAAGATTCGGATACCAAACGATACGTCAACATATTGTCTTATATTTCATGATAACATTTTCGAGTATAACGCATTGACTAGTGCAATATACAAGGTGGATTAGTCTATGAAACTTGAAATCAACACATTTTACAGTGATAATTTCTGTACTGTAATTTATAAAAATTTACAATTTTAAATCATTATATTATTCTTACATTATACTCTTATAACATTTGTGTTAAATGTAAATAATGTAATTGCAAATTACTCTTATGATAAACACAAATATAAATCAAATGCATGTAAAATATTTCCAAACATATTTTTAAACTTTAGAGTAATAAATAGTAAAAATAGAGCAATAAAATTATGAAGTTTAACGGAATAAATAAAATAAAATTGTATCGATTGACAAAACCAAAATTATATTTTGAACTGTAATCTTATTACAATAATGAGTTATTATGAATTAAATATAAAATTAATCAATATCAGTGGCGCAACCAAAAAATAATTTCATGGGGGAAGTTATAATTTCAAAAATAATGATGTCCTCTTTTCTTTTCTCAACATATATTTTTAATTTGAATCGCTATTCAAATAAGCGAAAATAAAAATAGTTTTCAAAAAAATCATTATGCATGACTAAAAAATTCAATCATCGCTCTTTATATGAAAAGCAGATTTACGACCCACTCTTCCATTTTGATTGCACCAACAATAAAAATATTTAAATAAAATTTTTATTTTTTTTTTCAATTTTTCTTATTAAAATTTATCAGAAGTTCAGGTTTTCAAATCACAATTGATGGGGAAACCGAAAAAGATTTTTAAGAGCTTCTAAGTACTTTTCACCTTTGACAAACCATGGTTGAGACTGAAAAACAAAAATTAAGCTATAAAAAAACTCAAAAATGCTTAATACAAACAAAATAAACATTTTTAATTTTTTGTTGAATACACACTGCTTTTATTTTTGTTATTTATCGTTTCATAATAATAATCAAATTTGTACGCGACAGTAGGATGTAGATACTGTTTTTTATATGTAGTAGTATGCTATATATATATGCCTCGCGAGGCAACAGGTATACGAGCAGACATATGTGATTGTACATTATTACAATTATAAATAGTGATATATACAGTTATATTTTTATAAGAGTGAAAAACCCTCCACTATACTCAACTTCCTTACTTTGTCATCAATATTTGTTAAAATTCATAGTTATTAATAGGAAGAGGCATTTTAGGTATTCTTAAGTTATTAAAATGATGGAAATATGAAAAAAAATCTCTAAAATTACATAGATAATATTCTTTTAAAAATGAGAAGATATGCTTAATAATTCTAAAAACATTTTAAGAACCAAAACACCTTTAAAAATTTTCTGAAAAAATAATAAAATATGTTTCAAAATATAAAACTAAAAAGTAAATGTTGTAATATATTCATTACCATATTACATTGTATTACTCGACCTCAATAACCGTATAGAAGCATTTTTATATACATACACATTATTTTAATTTATGATACCATGTACTAACTAATAATATTGGGAAATAAATAAACACAAGCTACGCTGATGATGTTTTAAGGGAGAACAGAGATAATAAAATTTATCAAGAAAAAAAAGTGCATTTTTTCATCGCTCTTGTCAAATAAGACGTCAGTCGTAGGCTCAGCCCCTGGTGTTGCCTCGGTCCACAATTAAATCGTCAATGTTGAATTATTAAAATTTAAATGTTGTCATTGCTTGCTTTCAATTTTATTAAATACATATTTGTAATATATATATATATATATATATATAAGTGTGATGGTGTCACGTTATCATTATTATGAGAATTTATTATAATAAAATACAGACAGCACATCCGCTGCCTGAGACTGATGAATTAACAATTAACATTTATTGCTAAATTGGCAATAGTCCAAATTATTATAAAAACCTGGCCATCTTGGTCAGTCGACTCCAGTACCTTGTGTCATTCATCAGTCTCAGTAATCGATTGTCGTTGTCCGGCTTACTGCTTAAAGTAAAGTCTTTGTTTTTCCTTTTTAACCTATCTACTCTGTTCCACAACATTTCAGAGTACTTGTGTCTTGCACTTTGTTTGCACCTCATACCTAAGTGTTACCCTAATTCCTTTCCTATAACAACAGCCTTTCGACACCCACAGCTAGCACGGAGTGTCAGCCGAGTACGGTGACTGCTGTACAACAACACGCACGTGAATACCTAGACAGCAGACTCCTCATCCTCATCTTCATCTTCGTACGCATCTTACTTACTGTTTTGTGTTACAACATAAGTAAAAAAAATATATAAATTATTTATATTTATATTAAAATTTTTTTCATTTTCCTAATGGTACTTAAATTATTTATTTATTTATTTCAAGTAAAACAGTAAGTGAAATTTTAATATTCACTGCTATATTAAAATGTTCATTCGTATCAAGTATCTAACTATATTTATTTTCTATTTCTCTAATTCAAAACTTCAAACCATACATCCCGATAGAAAAGGTAGTATACAGAATGATCGGTTTATCATAAGCTAATCGATTTCTGGCAAAATAAATACAATATTTGATTTTTGATTGTTTTTTTAGTTTCATATAATTCTTAATTTATCAGTTAATATTAATTTTTAAGATAATCCCTTATAATTTATAAGGAAGTCATCTTTTTTTTTTTTTAATGATAACATACAAATTTAATTAGCTTATAAAATAGGAAATAATCTATTTACGAAAATTAAGTCCGATAACAACTTTTGGGCTACTACTTTCGATGTTATTATCATACGAAGAATAAGATCGTGAAATGACTAGTGATAAAAATAGCAGCACTCACTCCTCACCATCAGTCATAACTTTACATTATTAATAACTTCTGAAGTACTAGTTCAAAAGTTCAAATCATTTTCTTAAATAAATTATTTCCTATTTTATAAGTTAGTTAAATATGTATGTTGCTACTTCAAAGAATTAAGTTGACACCCTCCTAAGATATGAGGGATGATCCTAAAAAAGTAATTATTAGCTAATAACACATAAATTATATTTAACTGAAAGAAATCAAAAATTATTTTTCCAATATTGTATTTATTTTGCAAGTAATTGAGTAGTTTAACATATTCTTCTATTGTAGTAAATCAAACCCTCCCCTCCTAATTCCTATTTTACCGTAATTTTAATTTACTAATGTATATTAAAATACTAATTTTACTTACGCGATTTTCATCTAAAGTCATTAAAGTATAATATGCTGCAGAACAATACATTGCAAAGTCACTGCGATTATTACCAAAAATAAAAGCTCGAACACAGTTAACCATATCTTGAGGAGTGGCAGTTTTAGATATAACTTCCTTTAAATTACGGATCGTAGATTCACGAAATGAGTCATGGTTCAGTTTCTCTAAAATTTTATATAATTAATATTATACAATAAGAGATTAAAATTATAAATTTTGAGTAAGGAAATGAAAAAAAAATTAAGTAAAAAATATTATAAAAAAAAATAATGATTGTAAGATGCATACAATAATTGTTTGTTTGACAAACGTTTGTGTTTTGATAGTAGTTCCGAATTTTTGTTAAGAAAAAATTATTTAATTCATAAATAATAGTAAAATATTACTATATAATTTTTTCCCCTTAGAGAAAAATATGCTTTAATTAACGCTTAAACAAAATAACGTTTTCGATTTAGTGATAAGATACAAATAATGTAATTTGGTTTTATAACTTTTTTATTTGTTTACACATTCGTCTGTTACATCTTTATTTATATAATATTACTTACTTTTGCGAGTTGCTGAATAACATCTATACTTTTCTAAGCAGCCATACAGAATATCTATTGCTACATCATATCTTTTTAACACAAGATCATCCACGTTTTCATTTTCTAATATCTAGAAACAAATACAAACACTTATTTTTAACCGCATTAATTCAAAGGATGGATTATTCAATTATTTGTACTAATTATAGCAAAGCTGAACATTATGTGGTTTCATGTAAGGCAATTTCTTTTTAATGAGATCATTGGAAATTTTTAAAGGATGCCTATAAAAATAAATAGAGGTTTCATAAATGGAATATTATTTTATCATTTATAATATAAACATAAATTATACCTGTAAATAATGATCTAAATATTCCTATACTTTAGTATAATATTTTTAATATACACTTTAATTTTACATAAAATTAGTGTAATTTTTACATGAAGTATCAAAAAATCGTACACAAATATACGAAATTTGATTGTGAGTGTTTCTTATAACTAGTCCCATTCATAATGTTTGTGTTATAACGAATATTGCACCAACAGATAAAAGTAAAGATTGCAATTAAATATTATTTTAAAACTAGATATGTTAGGTTAGAATGTATTGGTAAACTTATGCGTACTGGGTAACTAGTTTCGAGTTTAATATCTCAGTTCTAACAAACATCGCGCCGGAAGACAACGCCGAAAAACTTACAAAAATATTTTTAGTGTTTAATTTTTGATTCATTATTAATATTATATTTTTAATAAAAAATAAAAAAAAGTAGCACAGTGTGGATGTGGCACATTTGGGACAAGTATATCTAGCGGTGAATAAAATCACCATCATAAGAAACGCTTCGATGTAAATCTGTAGATAGTGATTAGTTTTGAAAAATACATAGATTATTCAAAAATCTAAACGAACTTTAATTTCCTTATTTACATCCTAATTACAAGTTATATGATTTATAAGTGTAATATTTGAATAAATATCTATTATAGCAATTCAATGTAGTATGAAATTGATATTTAATAATTTAGTATAGTAATTTATACGTAAAAATGATAAAGTAGTTGTTAAATTTATGGCAAACGTGTATTCAAATTGAAGGGCTTGAAACAAAACTTTTTATGAGATAATTTGTTAATTATGAGTAAATGGTATACAAACATTTTCATCATAGATAAAAATTAAAACGGCCCCGCGTCGCTTCGTTATAAAAGATTATTGCGCTGATTTCATATCTGCAATTATATTTATTTTATCACCTTTAATTTTTGATTATTACAAATTGTAAAAACGAATATTTATATACAAAAAAAAAAAATAACTAATAAAATATAGGTTAAAATGAAATTCAACAACACACCCAAAGAAAAACCTCAATCAATTCTGATAGAGAAATTTTATCAAGGGTTTATGATAATGTTTTATTAATACGAACAAAATAATTATTCTTATAAATAATTATTGTTCAAGACAAGAAAAAAAATGATCATATTGATAAATATATCATAGATTCAATAGTAATGATATATTTATCAAATTGAACAATGAATTTATTATATAGATCGAGGTTTTTCTCTGGGTGTACAACAGCGGACGGAATATATCAAACAGAATATAATTCTAAATATTTCAATTGTAGCATTTATTTAAAGAGTTACATAGAAATGATTACTAAGACTTCTATATAAATGATTTATTACAGTAACAATAATAAAAAAATAGTGATTTTAACGAAATATTGAGTTTTTATTATAAATTTACTGTTAATAGTAATAATTAAGTTCCCGATCACATATCTATCAAAAAAATACAATTTTTTATTCCTCATAAAATTTTTATTTAATGATATAAATTCTAAACTTGCAAGTTGAGCTAAAATAGTGTTTAAAAGTGCAACATTTCTAAATTATAAACTTTCATAAAAATTAACTCTAAGGATCTTTAATAAATTAAAAATTACATTTTTAATTGAAATTTTACATGATTATTTTTAACATATTAAAAATTAATAATAATTTTATTGAATACACACCAATATGCTGTCGAGAAATTGTGCTGTGATTATTTATGCTATCGTTGTACTACATCGAGTTGTTGTTAGTCTTTTCTCTATATCTGCATTGTCGCCGCCATCTTAGCGTGATTTAGCTATAAGCTCTATGGCGCTTGCGAGCCAGTAGTTTTGTATTCGTTTTGTTGTAAAAGTTGTAAGGTTTCAGCCAAATAGAGGGCCTACTAATTACCCACTGCCCAGGGGGGAACACTGGATAGTGACCTAGTAGCCGCGCCAAGCAAGATAGTACTTGTTGACGGAGTTACTAGGTTTTGATAAAAACAAAAACAAATATTAATAAAAGTGAGGGGAAAAAAACATGTCATGTATGATATAATAACATTTTTTTTTATTAATTATTGAAGATTTTTAATATATATATTCATAAAGGAAAAAATAAAAAAAGAAGAAAAAGAGCGGTGCTAGATACTGTCGTAATATAATCGTCACTATTATTTATATGGGATAACACTAAAATACCCTGTTCATGTACTCAACAATGCTATCTTTTTAGTATTTATTAATATATTCTTTTTCATTTCAAATATTCACCACTTCTATCCATAGAAGTGGTACATTTTAACTTGTTTCATTATACATTATATTCTTCTAAGGACATGATCCTTTTTCGAACAAAAAATTAGATAGACATTTAAGAGAAATAGTCAAAAGACTTACACTGTTTAACTACATTGTAGTGTATGCGGTTCGGTCATGAATCAATTAATAATTACTTTAAAAATCCTTCCTCACCAAAATAAAATCTATATTATTTTGTCATCTTTGTTATTCTACTATTAATAGTTAAAAATTCGACAGTGACGATTTTTGGGGGTAAAAAAATATTATAAAAAGCCAGAGCAAACCCTTGCTCCTGGCTGTTCATTTCATGCTCCGTATTGGGCTGTTCATTTCGTGCTCTGTATTTGGGCTATTCTTTCGTGGTCCGCATTACGCTCTTTTTTATCGTGCTCCGCATTAAGTTGTGCGAACGTAGTAATCGTCATTGTCGAAATTTTATGTGTTAATTTGTGAACTAAAAATCTGAACTTGTGTATTTTATTTATTATCTTCATCGATATCATCACTAAGGATAATTATAAGAACCAGAGAATTTACCAGGTAAGATTTTTTACATCGTTATTTTATGACCCTCGAATTGCACCCCGAATCAAAAGTAACTCTCACTTACACATTTTTACACCGACAATAATAATCATTCTGACCCCTTTTTAATTTATAGAACACTAATTATATTTTTATTTTTGAGTTACGACAATACACAAAATTAAAAAGGAGGTTTCATGTTGATACTTGTTGTTTGTTTTGAGGAGTAACGGCCCACCACTGGCCATAGTTGTGATCATCATCATCATCTCGACGTTTATTTTAATAAAAAAAACGGAGGACAAAAAAAATAATAAAAAAAAAAAACGTGGTTTTCACCATAAAAATTATATACAGACAGACAACTTGTCGCCTCGGTAGTATGGTTGGAAAAAAAAATCTGTTGTAGCGGCATTTGTGTTGTGGCCGGTAAACGTGATGCCGGGTGATGGTGGTACCAACTTTGACACATCCATTGGGGGGAAATACAACAATATGGGTATAGGTGCATAGTGTACGGTCAGCTGATGACGATAGGATGACAGATATCGGACCGGTTGACTAGTGGACGTTATCACGTACACAATTATTAATATACTTTACACCTACTGCACACACATACAATTGATAAGATTTATTAAACAAAAACTTGTATAAATTCTGCAACATTACAAAGTAAAATATTACCTTTGAGATTGTCGCACCTTTGTGCGCTCAGAATATCGCCGTTGAGTCTATATATTCATGTATAATACATTTAATTGTTATAATTATATATTATAAAATTCATTATACATTCATTCATACAATCCACTCACCTTATTCCTTATCTTCGACATAGCCAAAGAATTAATGGTTTTAGATTTGGACTTGGTAGTTTTATTTTGTCTTAAGTTTTTAAAAATTAAATGTATTACACATGAATTATAAAATCTTATATACACCAATGTGGATAGAAGGAATACTATATATAATACTAATGCAAATGCCACAATGGCGCTGATATAAACAAATAATAATAATATAATAAGATGGCGGCTACAATGCAGACATAGAGAAAAGACCAACAACAACATAGCATAAATAATCACAGCACAATTTCTCGACAGCATATTGGTGTGTATTCAACAAATCATTTGTGATATTTTAAACTAGTCAATTAAAATTTTTTCGTCAAAATATTCATTGAAACTTTTACAAAATTAATTATTATGAAAATTTACATCACTAACTATAGTACACATGAAATCATATTTAAAAATAATTAGTATAACTGTCGTTTCGAATAACAGATAAAAATTTACTTAATATCTGTTTTAATAATTATCGTAAAATAAGTACTTTAAGTACAAACTTTTAGGAACTATAAAAAACACTTGATGTAACAGAATTATCAAATTAAACTAAAACGTGTCTATAAATATCTATTAAAAATTTTTCAACAAGATTATTGACAAATATTAAAGATTAAACAAGTAAGACTAATTTTAGCTTCGAGGCAAAGCTAAGAATTTATTTATACATACTTCAGGTTCTGTTACTTCAAACAATGTTGAATAAAAACTAGTGGAGCAATTAATTATTTCAATTGTAAAATTTGATAAATCTTCATTTAAGAATTTAATTATTTCGTCATGAGCATTTGTAGGTAGGATATCGGCAGAAACAATTCTTTTCCTTAATCTATTTAAAAATTCATCAAACAATCCTTTAAAAATAAATGGATAAATGTTACTTTTAATAAACGTTGGTTACTTATTAAATAAAAACTAAAATATTCATAATAAAAATTCACTTACTGCGATTTTTTATAAAATCAATTAAATTATTGTTCGTGAAGCAATTGTACAGCGCTGTTTTAGCACGAGGTAAATTCTTCAATGTTATTAAATTCATGATTACTTCAACAGTTTTTGAAAAAAAAATACCCTTTTAAAAGGAAAACTTTATTAACTATAATATTTTATAAATAGACAATAATTTAATTAAAAAAAGATCATATAAAAAAACCCAACACAGTGATGATGTGGCATATATTATATATATATATATATATATATATATATGTACCATTGGTATCTAGATGGCACCACTTCCAGGGTTGGGTTGACATTCGGTGTTGAGATGAGACATCCTCAACATTTTGATTTGACTAAAATAATTGAGGAAGAATTTTTAAAGCTCAAGAAGAACAGCGTAAAACTTTTAATAAAAAGAGAAAGGAAGCTCATAAGTATCACTTAGATGATTTGGTTGCTATTTTGAGGACACAATTCAAGCCACTTTCCAAAATACATAAAAAGTTTTTGGGCCCATACCAAATAACCAAACGAAGAGGACCAGACAGATATGAAATGGTCAAAATTGGTGATTTCGAAGGTCCCATTAGAACATCATCTGGTGTTGACTATATGAAGCCATGGAGCCAAATAGATACAGATGATGAAGAAGAGATGAAAACTGTCAATCAGTCGAGAAGACTGATCAAGAAGAGGGTCGAAATGTGGGTACCATTGGTATCTAGATGGCACCACTTTCGGGGTCTGGGGATAGATAGTGGTATCAAGTATTATAAGAAGGGAAAATTAAAGGTATGATGCGTTTAAAGGTGCCGACAATGACGTCACCTATCGACGTCACTCGTATTCCGTAAATGAGGGAAACCTCAAAAAAAATTACAAATTTAAAAATCGCTAATTTTCGAAATTATACATATCTTAAATTAAAGCTAATGTAATGTATTTTACTATGGAAAAAATATTTCGTACTTATATTGTCTTTACGATGAAAATGGCTACCAAATGCTATTTTTGTGTAAAAATTCTCGATTTTATTTTTTATATTTTTAACTTAAACACAATTTTTTATGGAAATAATATTTATATCCCGTTTTTATTCGGCATACTTAATCTTAATCAGGATATAAATAATGAAATAGCAGATAATGTAGCTTTTAGAATAATACACCAATATTTAAAATTTAACACTATCTACAGATTCGCATCGAAGCGTTTTTTATGATAGTGATTTTAATCACTGTTAGATATCATTATACTTGATCCAACTATGCCACGTCACCACTGTGCGTCGACTAGCCTGTACTGGGTTTTTTTTATTAACTTTGATGCCTGTTTTCATCGTGAAGACAAAATAAAGTCCAAAATAAAATCAATAAAATAAATTATATTGTTTTGTTCATTTTTGAGAAAGTTTTAAACTGTTTTAAATAAAAAAAAAAATGGAAAAATTTCGAAAGTTAACGATTTGTAAAGTTGTAATTTTTTTGGATATTTCCCCTATTTACGGGGAACGAGGGAATTTTTTTCAATTTTTGAGGGTAATTTCTTCGACAAGAGAGCTGAGAAAAAGTGGTAATAGATACAAAAAAACATATCATAGTAAAATTAATACCTTCTCACCTTCGAATCGAAGATAATAAAATTGATAATCAATAATAAATTTATTTGTGACACTGTAATAGCGAATAATAACAATATTGTACTTTTTTTGATAGAGTTAGTCTATTTGAAATATAAAGATGCCTAATTCTATGATGAAAGTGGTTTATGATTAATTTTATCAGTCTCGAAACTTTTTTTTTAAATAATTAGCTTTTTATTTACACTTACATTATTTTCGGAAATCAAAAAAGTATAATAAGCTGCAAAACAATACTTCCCAAAACCTCCGGTATTGTTACCTAAAAGAAATCCTTGAACACGCGCAACCATTAATTGTGGAGTGGATGTTTTAGAGATAACACTTTTTAAATTACGAATTGTAGATTCAAGAAATGAATCATAGTTCAGTCTTCCTGAAATATTATTTAATTAATATTATATGATAAGAGATTAAAATGTAAATTTTGAGTAAGGAAATGAAAAAATATTATGCAAGAAATTGTCTTCAAAAATTTAGAAAATATTATGAGAAAATAATGAATATGGGATACATGCCATGGTCGTTTTTAGACGATTTTCAGAGCAGTTGTGAATTTTTGTAAAGAAAAAAATTATCTGATTGGTGTTTAAACAAAATATCGTTTTAAATTTAAAGATATGGTTCAAATAATATAAATAGCAACTTTGGTTTTATATTTTTTTTATCCTGTTTATACATTTGTCTGTTACAAAATTTATTTGTATAATATTATTTACTTTTTTGAAATCCTGGTTTACATGCATACTTTTCCAAGCAGTCATACAGGATATCCACAGCTGTAGTATATTTTTTTAAAGCCATGGTAACTATATCATTGTTTTTAGTTACCTATAAATATTGTATATTAATTAATTCATAGTGATATTGATGAATTATATTTTTTATTGTGCTTTTTATATACACGTAAATAATCTTTATTTATACAGAATGGTCCCTCACGTTCTGGCAACTTTAATAACTTTTGATCCAGTTAATATTTTTCATTATATTTATTTTAATATTTGATATATGTTAGGGCTATAAATAATTTAGAATAATTTGTTTTTGTTTAATTTACCAAAAATGTAAAAAACAATTTTCAAATAGCCAAGTTGTAGAAAAGGTTTTAATCTTAAGGTCTTAAGAAGAAAATTGGTAGAAAAAATATTTTATAAATACTCAGAATTAAATAATATTTAGTATTTTAAATATTGTAACAATTGCGTTAAATAAATGTATTTTTACGATATCAAGCATTGAAATATGGATGTGCAATGCAAGCCATATTTTACTATAGTATCGGCAATTTGCGATTTTACCCTTTAGGTTTAACTAATAAATAATATAACCATGCATTTGCGGATGGAAAGGAAAATATAAAATTTGAAAATCGAACCTTACAATATAATAAACAACGCATATATGATAATAACAATATGATATTATGGTTAAAAAAGTTAAACAAAGTAAAATGATAAATTAAATTAGAACAAATGACTAATGAATAAATAACAAAATATCCCCTTTTTCTAATAATACATATATTTTTATGTGGACAGTAAATCCTTTTAACAAACAATACAAATTCTTAATATTTACCCACTGCCGTTTGAAAGTGATGAATACTGTGATACTCCGGATAGAGAGAGGACAATTAACACCGTAACATACAACAAACCGATGAACAGCTCAATTTAACAACTATGGTGACAAGACAACACATGACCTAAACACTTGGCATCGATATGACCGAAACGACCGAATAGCTGAGTGCGAAAACATTAGTTTTCAATGTCATACGTTGCAGGGAGTATGTTGGATAAAAAGGATATTTGTTATATTTAGAAACTAAAATTTTTATTGATTCATACATTTTACAAAAAGTTATATCAATTTAAATTTGAAAATAAATAATCGAATATTTTAACACAAAAATAGCATGTTTTGACTACGGCAGCCATTTGTACGTAGAAGATAAATCCTCGACACAATTTTTTTTTTTTTTAATTTATAGTATGTAGCATAAGGTTTAATTTATCATAGGTTTAAAGAACGCAGTATTTCCGGAATTTTTTCAAAACTTAAATTGAAAAAGTTAAATTTTTGTGCAGAAGTTGCTATTTTGAATCCCTCTTGTAGGCAGGTAAAGGGTCAGATTTTCAAAAAATTTATATCAAATGATAGGGAATTATCAATGGTTTCTACATAAAAAAAAAATTATTTTGATTCGTTTATTTTTGAAAATGTTATGCCAGTTTTAAGTAGAAAAAAATGTCAAAATTTACCGATTTAAAAAATCGTAATTTTTGGGAGATTTTCTCCATTTACAGGGAATGATGGAAATTTTTTCAATTTTTAAGGGCAATATCTTCTATTAAATGAGATTTGTGATATTTTGACGTATTGTTAAAAGAAATCAGTGCGGTGAGAGCTGAGAAAATTGAAATAAAATTAAATTAAAATATTCTTTGTGAAAATTTAGAAAATATTACAAAATTGTAATGATTATAGAATGCATACAATGATCATTTTTATACATGACACTCGTTTGTTTTTGAGGCAGTGTGAATTATTCTTAAGAAAAAATGATTTAATTCATAAATAATAACATTGTTTTATCATTTTTTTTATCCCTCTAGGGAAAAAAATGCTTTAATTTGTGTTTTAAAAATATATTATAATGAAATCCTAATCCCCATAGTGAATATTCCAAGACTTTATATTTAAACGTTAAGTTAATTATCTTTATATAAATGACGGTTCGGATGTTTTACTTGACACTCGAATAATAAACTAAAGACAATTTATTCTATTTTTTACTAATGACATGGTTTCTATTACTCATATACAAATCAAATAATTACAGATAATAAAAACATTAACATAAAAAAAGGAGTAACATCACTCAGCCATTTGACACTTCCTCCGCTACGTGATATTGCAATGCTTTGAGATCTCCACAACAAATACTTCTTGGACGACGTTAACAATACTGAGTGTCACGATTAATTTTACTGTGACAGGACGCGCTAACTCGCCGAACAACAGAAAAAAACACCACCGGTGTGAGTACACTAAGAACACCAACTCCAAATATGGATTGAGTATTTAATGACCGTACGTATACAGGCCGACACGAACCCAACAAAGAAAACTACGCCAAATCACTGGCTATCTAACGATCTAACGTCAACCGCATACACAAAAGTAATGACAGGAAGGTACCGGAAGTGTGCCGGACACGGTTTTTATCATTGCGACGAGAGTGGTACTGGGCGATTTTAAGCTACGTGGAGCTTGACCGGGCTCACATGTAACTTTTGAACAGGCGTTTAATCTAAAGAAAGTATTAAATTTAATGATATGATAAAAATAATATAAATAGTAATTTTGGTTTATAACTTTTTTTTATCCTGTTTATACATTCGTTCGTTACGTAATTTATTTGTATAATATTACTTATTTTTTAGCTTCGATGCGAAGCTGAGAAGGTATTGGTTTTACTATGATGTGTTTTTTTTTTTTTTTTATATTTTTAACTTTATAATGCTATAACTTTTTGAAAGATGTATGAATCACTATAATTCTTTTTTTTGTTGATGCATGATGTCATTATCTATCATTTGGTATATTTTTTTTATAAATCTGACTTTTTACCTGCCTACAGGGAGGGATTTAAAATGAAAACTTTTTTACAAAAAAATAATTTTTTCAACTTAACTTTTGAAAGTGTTCCGGAAGGTCTGACACTTTTATATATATCTTAAATTAAAGCTAATGTAATCTACTTTATTACGTAAAAAAAAAATTTCGGACTTTATTTTGTCTTCACGGTGAAAATGACTACCAAATGCTATTATTGTCTGGAAAGTGTCGCTTTTATTTTTTACATTTTTAACTTTATAATGCTATAACTTATTGATAAATGTATTGATCAATATAATTTTTTTATGGGAAATACTATTTTTTAATAATCCCTTTTTCATTCGACATACTTTATCTTAATCAGGATAATAATAACGAACTAGCAGATCATGTTGCTTTTGGTATAATCCACCAATTTTCTAAAATTAAACACTATCTAAAGATTTGCATCGAAGCGTTTTTTTTTATAGTGATTTTAATCACTGTCAGATATCATAATACTTGATCCAACTATGCCACGTCACCACTGTGCCACGACCCCCCTGTGCTGGGTTTTTTTGATAGTGATTTTAATCACTGTCAGATATCATTATACTTAATTCAACTATGCCACGTCAACACTGTGCCGCGAACCCCCTGTGCTGGGTTTTTTTGTATTGAGTCGTTATTTAAACAATAATACTTTTTGAAGCAGTCTTACAGCATATCTATAGCTGAGCTATAATTTTTTAAAGCAATGGGAACAATGTCTTTTTTTTTAGTTAACTATAAATATTACATAACAATTAATCTCTATTGATATTATTCAATTACATTTTTTATTATGTCTTTGATAAAGTTATGAATAAACAATCATTAATAATATATCAAATAAGCTAATTTCGTCTTAAATTGATTGTCAGATTATAAAGTGAATTTTTAATTATTTAATATTTCAGTAAAATGTCAGAAAATAAACATTGTTTTTATCAATTTGAACAAAACAAAGGTCTTGTTTCAACTTAAATAATTTCAAAAAGATCTGCAATTATCTATTTGTCGAATTTATAAGTTGAATTACAGGAACTCATTCAAGAATTGATAATTTTTATAGAAAAAATTATCTACATATCTATTACCTAAAAATGTTTAAATTATTTTTATTATGCAAGTAATTGAGTGGGTTATGATAAAAAAATCACCCTGTATAGTATAGCGAGAAAAGATTTCGTTTTTTCTATCCTTTTTCTCAATACATATTTTGATGTTCGATATCGTAAAAAAACACATGGAAATTAAAATTTTGAATAATTTTATAGTGCTATAGATAATAGACAACTAAACATAAATTAAAAAAAATGTTCACCAAATTTCTTCTTTAAATTGGCTATCTTCAAATTTTTTTTTCCATTTTTCGTATATTAAAATAAAATTATCGTTTATTATAAAAAAATCATAGTTCCAACGTATAACAAATATTAAAAAAAAATTAATGAAAAATATTTAATGGAAAATTCAATCAAAACTTATTAGAGTTGTTAAAACATCCTGTATGATAACATTTTCAATAATCGTATGGATGTAAATGACAAAAATTTAAAATCTTCAGTTAAAACGATAGATTACTCTAGTTTTTTGATAAAAATAATTAACGATTTTGATTATTTTTGAAAAAAGTATAAAAAATAATTAAAGCAAAATAGAAAAATTACTATAGGTTCTTCCACACTAAACAATCTCTCATGAAACTTAGTACAGCATATTTCGAAATATTTTATATTAATTGATGTTTGATCTCCTTTGACATTCTTTAATTCTTTATTGGTCTCATTTAGTGATAAATCAACGAACCATCCAATAAATATCTTTACTTCTTCACTCGTTTTGATCGGTTGTAAATTACCGGACACATACTTTTCTCTTATGTCATTTAAAAATGGATATAATGATTCTAAAGAAAATCAAATAATCATGTACTTAATAAAAACAAGTAGTATTCGAATTGACAAATGTAAGGAGATAAGCATATACAATATAAGGTAAATATTCTATTTTCAAAAAAAAACTTGCAATTCAAGCTGTAATGTACTTTAGTCAGTTACAGCTTAAATTGATGATAATTGTATATATTTTTAATTGATAATAAAAACCAATAATATTTTCTAGTTAATGACACAAAAATTACCACATTTTTTAGCATTTTTATGACAATGCTTGTTTTATAAAATATCTACAGAATTTGAATGACTTTATGATATACATTTAATCACATTTTCACCTTTATCTATTTGTATATTGTCGTCAAATTCGATGTTATTTAAGCAATTATAAAATTCTTCTCGTGCTTCTGGTAAGTTTTTTAAAGACAAGTATTCAATTATTTCATTGGCTATTGTTGTAAGTATTAGTCCCTTAAAAAATAACATATTGTTATTACAAAACTATTAAACTGAAAAAAATCCCGTAGAAACCTAACATTTTTTCGTGTTTAGTGATTGTTACATAAAATTAACTTTTTAACTTATTTTTCGCGAAAATAGTATTGTTAGCAAATGATTATTTGGATGGAAACACTTTAATAAATTTAATCTAACCAATTCTCTTCTTCATATACACCGAAAGTTATATTGAATAATGAAATGGCTGTGTAAGTTTTCATAAAGAAACGTTCTACGATTTTACTAAAATAACATACAAAACGAGCTTAGAGCTTCATCTCTAAATAGTTAAACTCGATTTGACGATTTTATAAATGTTTTTTTGTTATTTTTTTTTCTAACAAGGTTTTCATTTAGCCCAACCTTTTTTCCGCACAGTTTAATTTCAACTAATTGTATCTGCATAATCGAACAGTATTATATTTTTCGGATTATGTGCGTGGTTATTTTGTTACTTTAAATTGCCAATTTTATGGATGTGATGTGGACTATATAAGAAGTTTGAAGATAGTACTTACAATAACAGAAATCAAAATGAATTTCGACAACAAAGTTTATATATTAACTATTGACAAACAAATATAAAATATTATGGCATTGGGGAAAAGAAGGTCACTTAATAACTAATGATCACAGGACACAAGAAGGTTACATAAACAAATACAAATACAAATACATTAACAAATAAGTACTTATCGATTATCGATAAATGACATTAAGCATTCAACAAGAGTGATGAGCATGTAGATATTTGCGAGGGGTACAGGCAAATCGCAGGGCAATGTTACTAGATGTCGTATACGCGCGAATCGATAAGTCGATTGACTACGAACACAATTATAATCAATCGAGTAATTATAATCAATAATATCGACTATTGGTCAACGAGCATCATAGAACCTTATAGCAATGGGTTTCCAATGATGGCGAATTAATCATAAATAAATCATACGGTGAACGTAAGATTTGTTGCTCGTTTCAGGTGTGTAGCGCAATTGAACAAGTACTGTGACGAACCTTTTACCTACCCAAAGGGGGGTTTCAAAATGGCAACTTTTATAAAATTAATTTTCAAAAAATTAACTTTTGAAAATGTTATAAAAATACTGACATTATATATTGTTGTTGCCCAGTTCATATTTTTTAAACAGTTCTGACAAAATTCATAAAAATTCATAAAAATTATAAATTTTATTTTTAAGAAAAAAATGATACTAGAATACTAGGAAACTATAAAGATACTATCGGTAATGCTCGTGCTACAATTATTAAAAAGGTTTCCTTATAGAATAGGATTATCGATTGGTTGTAGACGCGAACAGCAAAAAAAACAAAAAGATACTGAAGAAGAAACTAATTTAATTGTTCTTTTGATTAATTAAACATATTTTAATGTCAAAGAACTGCACACAACCTAACCCATCAGGAAAAAAATGTTAAGAGTAATATACGTACCCTTAACATTTTTTTTTGATACAATTGTTATAAAAACAAAAGCAAAAACTGTCTATGTTTTGATCTCCTTGACATTTTTCCCATTTACGATACTAAAATAAGGCCAAACACACAAAATGATCTAATTAGCATTTTAACCTGAAATATACAAAAATATGTAATATAAATTTTCGTATACTTATATACTTATTGTATAGCTTATTGGTTTTCTGAAACAAACTTACAGCTTACGTTGATATCTCTAGGACTACTAAAAAAAACTGCTAATGCCAAAAAATATGAGCTCTGGTTATTGCTTTAAAATTGCATACTATTTTCTGACATTCGAGGTAATCTTTATTTAATTTCCATTGTTCAGGATCCTCATTTAAAAAACCAGTTTTCATTTTAAAACGTTCGAAAAAATTGTTTGAACTCCTATCAATAAACTCATCAATAGTTTTACTCACAAAATTGTTTATATTTCTTAGTGTTGTTATTTTTTTTATATTTTAATTATTTCTACTTTTTAGTTATTTTACCATTAGTCTTTTGGTTTCAATAGGCACTTGATCATCAAAAAATGCCATTGAAGTATTTTCTAGTGAGAGGTACCACACATGATTAGTAAAATTTTTAAGTCCTACTGTACTTATATCTTTAGTATTTCCATATACTTATAAAGACTTTGCATGCACTCTAAATCTAAACATGGAGCTTCAAGCGCATTACTTACAGAAAACTAAAATTTTAAATAAAATTCAACCCTTCTGCGGCACGAGAAATTATTTGGTCATCACGAAACTTCACAAAACTTAGTTTTATAACACACAGGACAATTATAGGAGCGTCCTGGTAAAAAAAATAACATTGAAAATTAAGTACCACCCTAGTGTACATGTATAGCGAGTGCAGTTTCAGGGGTTATGTAATTCAATAATACTTTACGACTCTTGATTTTTTTATCGATTATACAATATAAAAGAAACAATATGGGTTTATTTCGACTGTTAAATTGTTGGGCGATAAGAGTTATTAGCTGAATTAATAATTTTTACATCGATGATAAATACAAAAGATCAAATAATGTTTTAACGGTAATATTTTTAATTATTTACGTCACAATATAATTTCATTATTACCAAAAAGAATATTCTCATAACTTATTTTAAATCTATCCTTTTGTAGAAGTATTTTCAAAAATAAAACGCTGATTTTAATCTATTTAGTTACCTTATACTTTTGTCAGAATAGTTAAATTTGAAATATTATCTCACATAGAATCCTTATTATACTTGTCATTTAAATATTTTTAATGATCTTTATGTTTTGAATGTGTTTAAATGAAATATAAAGAACGTGACAAAGTATGAGAATCAATCCTAATGACATGTCATAAACTATTGTCATATCAATAATTTCAACCGCTGAATGTGCTAAGGTAGATTTTCAAAATGCAATTATTAAATAGATATTTCAATTAAAGAATTTAAAAAAAAAATTAGTCATTAATACATTATTACCGAAAAAGTTAGATAAAAAACTTTAAGTGTGAAAAAGTTTCTAAGTTAGAAAGAGCTTACAAGTGGGCTTTTTTTATAATTCGGCCTGTAACGACAACATGGTTTGCCACTTGCATAATGACTAGCTATAGTAGTATGGGTCGCCACCGCCAAGGCGATGTGTCACATCTATCAGATATGATTACCGGACCACAGGTGGAATTTAATTTTAAGATAATTAAAAGTATAATCTAAGTTAATATGTCGTTATATGTATAAATTACTATAATACCTCATGGTTTATTAAACACAATTACGACAATTAAAGTTGTTTGTGGTCGATATGTAAAACATATCGTAGCCCGTGTCTAGATTAAGGAATAGGGATAAATACACGCAAGTAATTAAATTATTCGCGCAATAAAATAAATATTACAGTTGAAATTAATAAGGAAATTTAATTTAATTGTTAATAAAAAAGAAAATTAAGTTAAACATGGACAAACATGCGAATGCATCAAAAACCATGTCTACAAATAAAGGCAATAAAAAAAAAATGAAATATTTAAACAAAAAAAAAAATAATAATATTACAAACATCACGGACGGTATTGGAACACATCCGTTAATGTTAATCGGAAATTAATGAAAAACACCAGGAGCGGTCTGGACACTCGCTCCTTAGCGTTGGCTAGAAGAAAAGGGAAACAAATGCTCTCCACACATAAACAAAATTAAGTTAATTTACGATAAAATAAAAATGAAATAAAATAATTAATAAAATATAGCTCATTACATAAATATAATATATAAAAGAAAACGATACCCGGTCTTCGAAGAGACCTATCCGATGGTCTGGATGCTTCGTCGAAAAGACCTGGCCGTTCGCCGTTGGCGGATCTACTCCATCGTTAAATAAAAATGTCAATAAAACAATAAATGTGTGCACCCTAGCATGGTCAATGACAGAAGAAAGAAAGGAGAAGAGTCAACACCGATCTAACGGCAATTTCAAATCGATAATGGCCAGTCTTTTTGGAAGGGATCAATACTGATAAACAATTCGATTTTAATTATATTTCTCTTTTATCGCCTTATCTAGCGGTCAGCGGCAAAATAATGAGTGGTTGACACCGCAGTGTCAGAAAAAGGTTCTTTTGCGCAATAAAATAAATAAGTAGTCATAACAAAAATCATAAACGGACCACCTTCGAATTTGTGACGTTACAAGCTCAATCATGAAATAGTCTGGCGCAGAGACACTTCATGTCTAGATTTTTTAGAAAAATAAGGTGTCGAAAGAGCTATAAATCGCTTTTTTATAGACCTATTTATAAGGAGGGAAATTGTGGTTATAAATTTAATTAAAAGATGCTTCTTATTGATTAATCAATTAAACTGGAAGATGTCCCTTTCGTAACTTATTATTTTATGATTTGAGTTATTTTTATAAAAGGGCCTTGGTGTTTTGTATCTATAATCTCCTGTAAGAATGTTATTTATTAAAAGAAATCATAATTATTAAATTGTAAATACAATGGAATTGTAAGTGCTAATAATCAATTACACAATTATGAATATATCATAAACATATATTTCAATGAAATATCTAGTTTCATTTTACAGTAAATCTATATATATTATTTGTTTTTAGGTATCGAGTTACTGAGTTCACTTACCAAGAAAATGATGACTTGTAAATATGTATGAACAATCATTTTTTTTAACAGTGAAACTTGAAAAAAATACAAAATATTTATATGGTAACTATTAATAGATTTGAATGATAAGTTAATCTAATTTGAGGAGAATCATTACAATTTTTTTCCTATATTTACTAGAGATTTGAATATAAATCTAGATTTTTAACTAATATTTCGTATAACATGATCGCTCATAATTAATACCTAAGTGATATCGTTTTGAAAAAATGTCAAATAAATGGAATAAACCCATTACTATATTAGTTTTAGTGGATGTAGTTAACTAAATTAAAATTTTATTTAATATAACTCAATTCAAACAATAAATTATAATTAATTGTATCAATAACTCCTTTAATACGCTAAGTCGTCTGCTTGGGTTGCTAGGAAAATTATTTTTATGTAAGTTAGTTATTAGTAAATAATTATGATCTTTTAGAAGCGCAAATAACTTCATTTAAAATTCAGTAATCTTTGGAATTTTTGAATCATGGAAGATAATTTGGTAAATTTAATTGTAATGAGAATTAACATCTCTGTAATATCTCGGATAAGTAAATTGTTTTATATCAACTTATATATATGAATGTCTTAGTAATACATTATGGATGAAAACTTACAAATTTATTTTCAACATTTTTTTTACTTAAAATTTTTATTATACTGTAGTCTTATGTACAGTTCACAAAGTTTCCAATAAGTTAATATTTCATATAATTGAATTAAATTATTGCATATATTCTACCTATACATAATAATGTATTAAGTTGAGAAATATTTTTTTATTTTATGAGAAATATGCATACATACTCGTGTAATCTTTCAAATTTTTCAATAATCTTGTTGAAAACTTTTTAATAAATATTTTAACACGTTTAAGTTTAATTTGATAATTCTGTTACAATGAGTTTAATATAGTTCCTAAATGTTCGTACTTAAAGTACTTATTTTACGATAATTATTTAAACAGATGTTAAGTAAATTTTTATGTTATTTGAAACGATATTTATACTAATTATTTTTTAATATGATTTCATGTGTACTGTAGTTAGTGATGTAAATTTTCATAATAATTAATTTTGTAAAAGTTTCCATGAATATTTTGACAAAAAAATACTAGTTAAAAATATCACAAAGGACTTGATGGATACACATCAATATACTGTCGAGAAATTGTATTGTGATTATTTATGCTATCGTTATTAGCTTTGATGCGAAACTGAGAAGGTATTAATTTTACTATGATGTGTTTTTTTTTTAACACGCTTATATTAGTTTCACGTGTATGTTGTTTGTTGTTTGTTTGTTGTTTGTTTGTTGTTTGTTTGTCGTTTGTAAGTTTGTAACTACACGCGGCACGTGTTATTATGTCGCGTATCCCGTCGTGTATGACCTTGAGACTATACTGTTGTAATGCATTCGCCCCACCCCGCTCACCACTCGTAGACATCAATATTTTCTAACCCGTAGACGTGTGCGTGTCATCAATTATATACTGACAACTTAAATAACTTTTGATCCAGATAATATTTTTAGTTGATTTTTTTTTTAAATATAAGTTATACGTTAGGTCTATAGCTATATCTCAATAATTAATTTTTTTACATTTTATTAAAAATATTAATTATTTTTAAATTTTAAATAAAATGTAAAAAAAAAATCTAAGATAGCTATTTTGTAGAGTAGAATTTAAGAAAAATTTTAGTAAAAAAATATCTTATTAATATTCAGTAGTAAATATTCTGTAGCGTTTTGAAGTTTGTGAAAATTTGAATTTTCATGTACTATTTTACGGTATTAAACATTGAAATACGTATTGAGAAAAGGACAGAAGAAAACGCTATCTTTTCAATATACTTTTGAATGAGAGTGATAAGTAATAATTGCCTTATCTAATTTCTTATCATGGTATTTATGCCAAGTTTGTAATGTATACACACTATCATCATATGTATACACAGTAATCATGAAAAGATAGCGTTTTCTTCTGTCCTTTTCTCAATACGTATTTCAATGTTTAATACCGTAAAATAGTACATGAAAATTCAAATTTTCACAAACTTCAAAACGCTACAGAATATTTACTACTGAATATTAATAAGATATTTTTTTACTAAAATTTTTCTTAAATTCTACTCTACAAAATAGCTATCTTAGATTTTTTTTTTACATTTTATTTAAAATTTAAAAATAATTAATATTTTTAATAAAATGTAAAAAAATTAATTATTGAGATATAGCTATAGACCTAACGTATAACTATTATTTAAAAAAAAAATCAACTAAAAATATTATCTGGATCAAAAGTTATTTAAGTTGTCAGTGAGTGGTGGGCCACCCTGTATATATATAACAAATTTTTATTGTAATTGACACAGCCCCGCGTCGTTTTACGCCGTGGTGCAAAGTCCAGCAAGTGCCGCACGGCCGACGACGTACCGTCATTAATGATATCGTAGTCTTCTTCTCGTTGTTAAAGTAACAACGTCAACAAACCGATCCGCACTCGCGTACTGTTGTCATCTACGCTGCTAACCTTTTGACGCCTGAGGATCACGCCGGACATCGCGCGTTGACGCCAGCGACAGTGCCGCGATATTATGCGAGGATCATATATTCCTACCGCCACTGCCACCGCTAATATTAATATATATATATATATATATTAATATTTATACGTATATACTTATATGTTAATATTCATTTATATATTCCTACAGCCGACGCCTCTGCCGCCGTATATGCCTCGTGTATAATGTTCCCCCCGCTACGCCCGCCTACAAAACACGGCTATACCTCATGCATGATACGTTTACGTACTTAAGTCCCTTTAAATGTATATATATATATATATATATATATTCTAATTACTATTAAAACTTATATATTAATACACTTTATTCTCATTAAGAGATATAGAGTGTATTCATTCCGATTACAAAGGATGATTCCCGTATCGTCATTTTTCATCACTACCTCCACGTTGCGCGCCTGCTGCTTTCCGGAGACTCCCTCCCCGGAATCGAACTCTGATTTCCCGTTACCCGTAACAACCATGATATTGATAGTAACTACTATCATAACATGAAACTAAAAAGTAAAATATAAATATAGTTTAAAAAACTAAAAAAACACGCTTTTAAAGTACATCGAACTAAAAAGTTAAAAATAATTTTTAAAATAATTATGAACAAAAAATACTAGTATTATTGTGATAANTAAAAATAGTTTTTAAAATAATTATGAACAAATAAATATAGTTTAAAAAAACTAAAAAACACGCTTTTAAAGAACATTGAACTAAAAATTATTTTTAACTTTTTAGTTCGATGTTTTTTAAAAGCGTGTTTTTTAGTTTTTTAAACTATATTTTTAATTAACAAGTAAGTTAATAGCACACAGCCCGAGTAGATCCAACTGTCAGCAGTGAACCAAAAGAATCTATGTTTGTAAATTAGTTAGGTTTATTTTTTGATACATAAAATACTAGGTGACCTTGGCCACCGAGATGCTGTCATTTTTGTTAAGTATGCGTTTTTGCCCTTCTGAATTTTTTATGTTTAATGAAAAATTACGTTTATGTTAAACTTTACTATTTTTTTTTTAATTGCTTTTTCAATGAGCTTTAATTTTATAATATACAGCTAAGAAAAGGAGATGCTTTAGAAGAGCAAAAAGTTCCTTTAGCCGCGTAGAAAGCATTTCCTTGTATTTATTGTAAAAATGTATTAACTTGACAACAATTAGTAAGTCTTAGGAATTATCTAGGAGGCTAGTCGAACTTATTAATACAAATTTATATTAAGATAAATTCTCTAACAGTAAATGTTATTAAATCATAAGAGTTTCGTACGATTTAATTTTAATTTGTTAAATTTTCATATTTCAAAATCAATGTGTTATAAATTTATTTAAAAATACTATAAAGTTATCATTGAATTTAATTAAAATTTTATGTTATTTTTACATAAATAAAATGTAAAATAAAGTATCTAATAATGCCTGATAAATAATAAAAAAATAATACGTATAAAATGTAAAACTCAAATAGAGATGTTTTATCAAAAAGTTGAACATAAAAATGAAATAACATTATAATATAAAAAAAAAGTTATATTTAAAAATTTAATTAACGTTATTATATCATGAAAAATTCAAATAATGAATGACGTTTTTAAATAAAACAAAAAAAATATTTAAATTCAGCCATGAATATTTGATTTATTATTAATGTGTAATTATAGATAAACTCTTTGCTTTATGCAAAAAGTGAAATATTTAAAATTTATACATTAAAATTATAATAATGTCATGATTCACTAAAATTCTATTATATTTTGGAAATAATTTATATATATACAGTGGCGGCTCGTGGCTTAGACGACGGGACGATCGCACCGCCTACTAAATTGCATTAAAAGAAGAAAATTAATTGTATATTTTTAATTCTACATTTTTATTAAAAATGAAAATTTTTAAGTAGTAAAGTAGTTATAATACATTTGTCGTGTGCGAACATTAAAGTTGTTTTTCTCAGTATATACGAGTAAGCATACACACACGAGCAGTGTACAAATGACCGACAGCGTCGTCCATACAGTAAAATATTAGTATATTACTAAATTGAGTAATTTATTTTTAGAATTAACTACGTTTACGCTCGTCATTATCTGTTGCTATAACAGAATAATCGCTACAATTATTTATTTCATTTCTATATTCTACTGCGACCTTTAAAATAATATGTGTATTGTGTTTATTTTAATATATTTAATTTGACATTTTTTTATACCTATGACTAGCGGCATTATATTTGAAGTCGTATCTCCACCACCAGCACCTACGAGCCGCCACTGTACAGAGTGATCGGCTAAATGTCGATTCTTTAATGAGGTGTTTTATAAGAAAATTTTAATTTCTACCACCATCCCTTATGCTTAAAACTTGTATGAAGTTCATATTTTCCTTTTTTTTTTTACACCATTAGATTTAGTTTAATAAAATAAAAATATTTTATTTCATTTAATATTAAGCGCTCCACGGCTCTCTAAAGTTTAGGGTTTATTAAGAAAAAATTATAACGGACTCGAACGTTGTAAGTCGTAAATCGATAAGCGCTACTAGTTTTATAAATAAACACATCAAGCTTACCTTAGTTGTTCTAACTACGTGCGTTGACACAGTAAACCGGTTTATCTTATCGCTACATAAAATAATAATGTGACCGTGTTGGAAAAAAAATATAGTTTAAAAAAACTAAAAAAACACGCTTTTAAAGCACATCGAACTAAAAAGTTAAAAATAATTTTTAAAATAAGTTTAAAATAATTATGAAAAAAAATTACTAGTATAATTGTGATAAAAGCGTGGGTGCTTTGTGCCATATTTTTCGTATATTGAGCGCCCGACGCTTTTATCACAATAATACTAGTATTTTTTGTTCATAATTATTTTAAACTTATTTTAAAAATTATTTTTAACTTTTTAGTTCGATGTGCTTTAAAAGCGTGTTTTTTTAGTTTTTTTAAACTATATTTATTTTTCACTCTTTAGTTTTATGTTATGATAGTAGTTACTATCAATATCATGGTTGTAACGGGTAACGGGAAATCAGGGTTCGATTCCGAGGAGGGAGTCTGAGAAACGGCTACCACATCCAAAGAAAGCAGCAGGCGCGTAAATTACTCACTCCTGGAACGTGGAGATAGTGACGAAAAATGACGATGCGGAAATCATCCCTCGTAATCGGAATGAATACTTTATATCTCTTAATTAAAATAAAGCGTGTTAATAAATAAATTTTAATAGTAATTAGAATATATATATATACAAGTAAAGCGACTTAAGTACGTAAACGTATCATGCACTAGGTATAACCGTATTTTGTGGG